CAAACCCCCCAGTTCTTATACAGACTAGTATAACCCGTAACCCTTCATTCTGCCAGAGGATCAGAGGGGTCAATAATTGCCCTTATTTTAAGAGTTGTAGCTGACCTTTTAGGGGTTGGTATCTTTACAACAAGGAAAAGGGACCTTGAAACTGATGCAGTGTTCATTAGAGGAATTACCTGCTTGCCTTGATTTGACAAGAGAATTTGGACTGGGAGGGCAGTGAATTTGGGAAGGGATGGGAGGGGTAAATGCAAAGCAAATATTCTATTTTTGTGACTTAAAAGGAGGGTCAAACAGGAACTTGTCAGGCACCAATTTGTAAAGTATTCTTTTCATTGTAAGCTACTTTCTCCTGTTTAGTGACCAGCTTATGCCATGTAGGGCAGGCTGGCAGTAGAAATATTTTTATCAACCTGCTATATTGTACTTTTGGAGGTTGGGGTGGTGTGGGCATTCAGGCACACAGTTGACAGGTCAGAGGTCACAAGTTCAAGGCCACAGCAGAAATCCTGTCAGATTCCGGCAAATCTGCAAATTCTGCTAAGTGCCTTGTCACAAAGACATGAAAAAAGAAGGGGTTGTACTTTTTACCTCATGATGTATATTTTCTCCAAATGGACAAATACAAATACAAAAGGCTTCCTGTCCTGGATAGTTTTAAAATACTGACTACAATGCAACTCTAGTTCATGGTGACCTTTTTTTTCTTATCAGAATTATTTGCCTGAGATTTATTTTGTCTTTTATCATCACTGAAAACAATACATGTTTTCAAATATTTTGTAAAAAAAAAAAAAAAAGTATTATAAGACATTGGATAACTAACCCTAATTTTAATGTAGCTAGATTCTTGCTTTTGAGAGGGAATTTGAACATAATATGTATTTTCATATTTAAATATATTATCATGTAGATTGTATTTTAGTAATTTTCTACTAAGATTGTGGCTTGAAACATATTGTTGCAGATTTGATACTTTATTAAATAAATGGAATGTTCTCAATTTCCAGGGTCCACATTGCCCTGGGATTCATTGGATATTAGTGCTGTATGCTCTGTGGAGTGCCTTTGGATACGCTTGCGACCCACTTAGCATTTCAGTATTCATCAGTATTGCACTATCGGACAGTCTTTTGTTCTGTTGCTTCTTGCCTACAGCTACATACAATCTCAAATAATGTTTACTGTTAATTATGTGAAGTGGAACCGAGGTTGTCATAGATCAAGGTCTGAAGGGACTATTTATAATTAACTAGTCGGATCTCCTGCATTCACGCCAGAGTACTTCACCAAGTGTTCCTGAATCAACTGCTATCCTGAATCACCCCTTAACTTCTGTTATTTAGAAAGATACCCATTTTATTACAACAGTAGAAGCTGTGTTAACTGGCATGAGTGGGATAGGTGGGGTGCTGGGTATCTTAAAATTCTGGTTATCTGAGGCAGGGGTTTTCAACCTTTTTGAAAACCTGTGTGGAGCAAGGGGAGGGAGGGAGGCAGCCACACATGGAGCAGGGGTGGAGGGGTGGCGGTGGCAGCATGCAGAGCAGCAACAGCACAGGGTGGTGAGTGACGGCTGCTGCTGCATACAGGCTCCCTCCCCTGCATCCAGCTGGCCAGAAATTCCAGTTAATAGAGTATTCCAGATAGCAGAATGCCGGTTAACACAGCTTTTACTGTAGTTAATTATCTCAGTTGTTAAGATACATACCTTCTTTCTGGTCTGAATTTGTCTAGCTTCAGCCTTCAGCCAGTAGATTTTTATTGTATCTTAATCTGCTATAATAAAGAATCCTTTTCCCATGTAAATACTTACTGACCAAGATTTAATACCACAACTTGACATTCTCTTGGTTAAATTAAATATATAGAGCTCCTTTAGTCTCGGACTATGGCCACCATTTTGATCAAGTGCAAGAATTTCAACTTTGTCAAATGAAGTGATTTTTTTTCTGTCTATATGGGATCATTGCAGTTGACCCAACAAAACCCAAAGCACAGAGCTGCTTGTGAAAGTAGAATTATCTAAGCCAGACATTGCAACTTACTCTTGCCTCTACTTAACAGAAAATTGATCTATGTCAGTATAGCACCACACTGACCTTTCAGCAAAACCTTAATGTGTTGTTTTTAACGTGGAGCTGGTTTTAAAGATGGGTCAAAACTGAAACTGTTCAGACTTGAAATTTACTGTTTGATCACAAACACCACAGTTACAATTGTCACCTCTATTTGCTTTTCAGGGAAGTGAGTCGACTTATATTAGATCCTCTTTTTATTTCTCATAAGTCAGTGTTTCCTGACTCTGAGCTTGTGACCGCAATCCAGACAACAGCACCCTGGTCCATGTAAAATCAAAATTCTGTGACTTGAAGCCCTTTTCGACATAGACCAGAAGATCTTTGTTTCAGCCTGTATCAGATAATATATAACAACTATAAAATTACTTAAGCTGCATAGCAGATGAAGTAGGGAGAAAAAAAGTATGGGTAATAGTCATGCATATTAATGACTACTTTGGATGTTGACTACTTTTCAGCTGAAATTGAGGTTGAGACAGTGAACCATGTTATGCTTTCTCTTGTGCAGAATAGCTTGGTATTATGTTTTTTGGTTGAATTCCTATTGCAAATATACATTTTAAAAAAGTTATAGTAGACATCCTCTTCCCTGTGATGTTATAGGGCTTGGTTCATTTTTCTTGAGGTTTGGAGATTTCTGTTGTAGCATCCTTAAACTTTTAATGATTTAATCTGGTATCTTTTTCAGAAAGGAGTTCATACTGAATCTTTCAGGTCCCCATAAAGCAAATAAACCATTAGTTAGTACTGGCACAAAAAAGTACCATTTACATGTCCTTTTATTAGCTTAGGGCTTACTAGTGAACTCAAAACTGGCTCTGGTAAGTTTCAGTGTAGCTTTTAGTCCTTCAGGGAACACAGCTCAAAAGGGTTTAATATCACTGTGAAGTTAGATATATGCATTTAGTTCTTCTTTATCCATTGCTTTAATTTTTTTTTTTTTTCCTTCAGAAAACCAAGATTGTCTGCATCAAGTAGTCCACGAACGTTTAGGGGAGCTGCTACGTGTTCTAAAAGCAGTGATCAACAAACATCAGACTCTCAACTCAGTTGACATTCTTAGTGCTGCAGGAATGGTCATTGCAAAAGTAAAAGGTAAGAAAACAATGCCTTTCAAATGCCAGGAGAATTCAACTAGTTGGATATAATGTCGATTTACTCTGTCATATTTCAGCATATTAACTTTGTTCCCTAATTTTGTAATAGATTGTGTATATGTAAAAGGCAAACAGTTTAATTATACAAATGTTTTAATAGTCGGTGTTGATATGCGAGTACCTCCCCCAAGTCAAGTGTAGCATTAAATAAGCTTTTAATTTTTTTAACATAAATGTTGGATGGCAGTATACAGAAATCAATCTACAAAATAACTTGGCTCATGAAAGCACAAACACTTTTCACATGCATGCAAGGCTGTGAATTTAAATCAATATTAATATGTTTTTCATCTCTTTATATTTACTTTGCCATGATGACCCAGCAAGTGGATGAATAAGTTACACAAATGTATAGACAAGAGCTTTTAGATTCATATCCTAACTGAAGAAATATCCAAATTAGTGTATAAATCTGTAATAGTCTGGTAGTGCTTGTACATATAGTCCCAGAACAGAGGGAAAATAAATTTGCTAAAGCTGTCCACAAATGACAGAGATGTAGCTGTTGTTACAGTAAGATAGAAGGCACTAATTCTGCAGATGGCTATAGATCCAGCCCACCCAGAAAGTGGCATTGCTGTGATGAACTACATAATCACTCTAGCTCCTTCTCATCCATCTATATCTTTTACTCAGCCTTTGAGTGCAGATTTCTTCAGCCCTAGAACCAGTTAGGTTTGAAAGTTATTGTGAAGTCAGTAATACTCTTACCTGCCTGACAGAAATAATATTTTCAAGTGTGAGTAAAAATTGCGCTAGAGATGCACCGATACATCAGTCCCCTATCAGATGGGCATCAATATGGGGAAAATTGGCAGTATTAGAAATCAGGTTTTTTTGCCTAATGTGGTCGATAAATGCCCCATACATACACACAACCACACAATGCATGGAGCCAGGAGCACAGCCCAGCAGCTTGGAGACCAACATTGGGCTGGTAAGTCTGGTGTGGTGGAAAGAGCAAAGGGAGGAGTGGAGGATGGGGGGTGGTAAAGATTGAGTTTGAGCTCGGGGCAGGTGGCGGTGGCACTGGGAGGGGACTGCAGGGGTGGGTACTGCAAATTTTGCATAGCCCCCTCCCAGCACTGCCATCACCCAACCCAAAGCGCAGCCCAGCCCAGCCTCCCCCCGCCAGGAAGAGCCCAGCACAGCCCCCAGCCCACCCTCGCCCTGCACACAGATCCGGGGGCACATGCCCCACATGCCCTTCTGGAGTGCACACAAGATGGGAGCTCCCCCGCCCCCTGGAAAAGCCACTCGCAGCTGTCTTGTACCCTGCCCTGCCCCGGCTGAGTAGTGCCTGCCCTGGCCCCACTCCCCTCAGTGCAGGGGCCTCCATCTGCAACCCCCATTACCCTTCCCTCCCCCCACCCCTTCCCCCACAGTTGACTTACCAGCCCAACGCTGGTCTCCAAGCTGACTGGCTGCATATTGGAATCGGATTGGTATTGGCCAATATGGTTCCTTAAAAAGAGGCCATCGGTATCGACCCCAAAAAATCTATTGGTGTACCCCTAAATGCCACTTGCTGTCTTTGTCCAGAACAGTGGTTCTCAGCCTTTTTCAGCTCACAGCATCTCTTGTTAGACTCAGACACCCCTTGAAAACTACCAGTTCTTGGTTTTCACTCATTTTTTGCTATAGAAAAATAATAGTGCAATTCTTCGGTTGCAAATCATTCATTAAGATGATAACAGGTCAGAATGTTTTTGACAGTGAGTCCCTATATGAAATTTTTTAAGTTTTGTCTTGTGAATTGTGTATAGGTGTCTGTATACCTAACAGTGCTAATATTGTGTGGCACCTTGCAACACCCTTAAAATAATCTTACAGCACCCTCATTGAGAACTACTGATCCAGAGCCATGTGGTGTATTCTTTCTCTGCAGATGTTTTTTGTATTTAAACTTTTCCCTTGCTGTAGCTGTTGTTTTCTCCTATAGTCCACTTGCAAACTTTAGTAGTGAGGTCCATCTTTTTATCTACTTTCCTAGATTTTTCCTGTATTTCTGGTGTGAACACTTGCTGTGTCAGTCAGTAATTCCAATGGCTTTTTCCGCTCCCATGCATGGGTGGTAAAGCCTCTTCTGGAGATTTTGCACTAGTCATACAGGTTTACTTGCTTGCACTTCAGAGGTTTCTGTAGGTCTGTCTTTGGCATCTTAAAATTCTTCTGGCATCTAAGCTCTGCTAGTTTTGTACTAGTTACAAGGGCTGTCACAGAATTGTAGGGCTGGAAAATACCTAAAGATCATCTAGTCTATCATCCTACTCTGAGACAATATCAGCTATGTCTAGACAGTTCTAACCTGTTTTTAAAACCTTCAGGAACCTGTTCTATTGTATAACTGTGCTTTTATAGTTAAGTTCTTGTTGTTATAATGTCAATCTTTTTTTCCTTTGAGTTTGACAGTGAACTGTTGATAACTAATGTTTGAGTAGTTTTTAAAGCAGCTCGCACCAGTTTTTAATACAGAAAACAAGATGGGGAAAAAATCAAATTAATAACCCCTTCCTTTTCCTCCCAACGCACCTCTCCCCCAACCAACACCAGTTATCAAGTCTAATTCTGGTGTTTATGTACCAATTTTGTGTACTGTCATACTTGAAGATGGCCTGCAAACAAAGCCAAAAAGATTTTGTGGCCTTTTAACAGTGTCTAAAAGCAGCTTCATTAAAAATAGTTAATGAGAACATTTGCTTTTGTTTCATTTGCATCTTGCAGAATTTGAAACTAGATGTAGAGTTTTATCAGTGGTTGGGAGTAATGAAGCTATTGCACAATGTCCTGGGTGGGAAAGAGAAACCACAAGTTGAAAAAAAGTATATATTGTGTAATGACTGAATTATGAAAGGATTTCAAACAACATTTATTATTTTTTAAATATAGAACTAAAGAAAAAACAGTGAAGTCATATTAGTCATCTCCTGACAATGGAGCTGTGCTAGGTCTGGTAGCATGACTATAGTTGCTTGTATGTGCAAAGAATTGGCATGCAGACAGTATTTATTTAAACAGTCTGGGGTAGGGGTCTTGCATTATAGGAAATTTCTCTGAAAAAAGGTGGGGGAGGGAGGGAGTGTGGCATGAAGGGAATGTGTTGTTGAAGTCTTTGTCCTGACCTGGAATTGAGCCAAAGTTCCAGTATGTTGCTACTGCAAATTCATCATCCTTTTTGAAGAACCTCTCAGGTGATGTTAAAACGCAAGGTCTAGTTATTTTTTTTTTTTATATGTAATAGTCAGTGGAACTTGTGGCAGTTTGGAAGGGGGGCAGGAAGAGGGGAATATCTGCTTAGGCAACCTAACAAAAGTCTTAATATGAGTAGCTGCTGTCCTACCTATTGTAAAATTCCTGTTCCTTTTAATTGGCTACAGCCTATCTGAAAGCTGGTAAGGAATTATTTTAGTACTGTTGATCCAAGTCATTTGCTGTATTCCTTATACCTGGGAAGATAATGATGCAAGTGATTCTGCAAGTCTTCTTCTTTCATACTCTTCCCTGTAATTATATTTGTCTCTAAACAGGAGACTGCATTTCTGTGAAAAAGGCTTTCCTCTCCCCTGCAGTGCCAGCTCTGCTGAATGCAGAGATATTTTTACATGCCCATTTCAGTTAATTTGAGCCACATTGCTTGTGGTCTGGGGAAACTTCTTGTGACTGTCTCACCATCATGAAAGACCTTCATGCAATTTCATCCTGGATTTTAAAGATCAGTGCTCTGCTGTCATAGACAATCATATCACACAATCCCTTCCATCTTAAAACTTAAAATGCAACCACCATCTTAAAATGACTGATGTGGTATTGTCATTGTTTTTGGTTTTTTTAATCTTCTTCCTCTCTACTTTACCTTCCCATTCCCCCCTGG